CCACCTTTTGAGCGTCGAAAATTAATAATCCCATCTTTGGGATTCGTTTTAATAATCCCACCTTTGATATCAATCCACTTTAAATGGTCCCAAACAAGTTACTTGACATGTGGCGGCCTATGATTGGTCAAAAAATAAAAATAAAATAACATTTTTAAAAAGTTAGATATTTTATAAGGAAAAAAAACCACCCATTGTGACCCACCACCCACCACCAACAGCTGCCATGCAATACCTCGTATTTTTATACGTATTTTAAATAAAATAGGTATTTTGAGAAAAATTTAATTAAATTGTATTACTTTATTTAAAGTATTTTAATTAATTATTTAAAATAATTTTGAAAATATTTATAAGGAAAAATTTTCCGGAATAATCCGACCTTTGCCTCATCCGCCCAAAATAATCCCACCTATCGATTATTTTTCTATAATCTGACCTTTATACCTCTCCCGCTCCCAATGGTCCCAAGTGACTTGAAACCGACTAAACAAGTTACCATTTATAATTTGGAATTGTTTGGACATGTGTCACCACATAGTTGGTTAAAAAATTAAAAAAAATTAATAAAAAAATTATTGAATAAAAAAATTAAAAAAAAAAAACCCACAACCACCCTCTCCAGCAGTCCCACCACCGAAACCACCTCGCCTACCTAGCTCACCCACCGAAACCAGCTCCTCTACCCACTTTTAGCCCACCAAAACCACCTCCCTCGCGGCCCTATGAATGGCCGCTGTAATGGGTTTGCGAATTTAGGGTTGATTTGTGGGCGTTTGTTTAGGGTGTCTGCCAGCGATTGTCGGTGCAGATGTGGTGGCCTGGTGGGTGACGACTGATTTTGATGGTGGATTCGCTTGGCATTTGCTATGGTGAGAATTGTTGTTGCGGGTTTGTGTGTGGTGGATTTGCAAAGGAGGATCGGGGCAGCGGTGTAAGCTCTGCTTTTTAGGTGGTTTTGCGGACTGGTGCTGGGGTTAAATCGGCAAGAAACGGGGAAGGTGAGGGAGGGGTTGGCAGGGATAGTGAAGGGGGAGGGGAATTGGTGACCAGAGTCGGGAAGGGGAAGGGAGAGGGAGATCATGGCCGGATTTGGGTGGATTCTGGTGGCAGGGGCTTCCGGGATCTGGGTTTGGGGTTTTTTTTTATTTTTTCTGTTTTTTTTTTATATATTTTTAAATTTTTTTTTTACCAATCATAGGCTGACACGTGTCTTGTAACTTGTAATAATAAGTTAGATGACTGGTTGGGACCATTTAAAGCGGAAGAGATATAAAGGTCGGATTATTAAAAAATAATCGATAGGTGGGATTATTTTGGGCGGATGAGGCAAAGGTTGAATTATTCCGGGCAATTTTTCCTATTTATAAAAGGAAAGTTTTTTTGATTAATTAATTTAATTAAGTTGAGGTTTAATTTAAGGAAGTTTAATTTAGGAAAGTTTTATTAGGGATGGGATTAGGAAAATTTAAAAGAGGAAAGTTAGGGAAAAGGGGTATAAATATCGAACATATGAGGTAAATCAAACTTTGCCTAGAGTGGAGAAAATCGAAAGTAAACTTTTCTCTCCTTCCTCCTTATTTTTCCTTTCTTTTTCTTTCTCCTTTTTCCCCTTCCCTTTTCTTTTTTTCGGCTGCTCTTCCCCCTCCACCACTGTCAGCCGCCGCAGCAGGCAGCCACCGGTGCTGGCAGTTAGTGTGTGGTGGCTGCCACTGCCCCATTCCCCCTTTTCTCATGTATATAAAAAAGCAAAAAAAATAAAAATTGAATCTTTATTACTTAAAACTAATTTATTTCTAAATCTAATTGTTGATTTTGAATTTTGGGATTTGATTTTGATGGTGATTATAAGTATTATGTTAATAAATTTTTAGATTATGTTTTTAATTAAAAAGCCCCAATTTTTGAAACCCTAGGTTCTTGATTTGTAAATTATTGAAGGGTTATGTTGTATAATGCTTTAGATCTTTGATTAAAGTGTTTTAAGGCTTATTTACAACAAGTTTTAATTGAAATATAGTGCTGGAATTTTTGGTAGAACACTTAAAATCAAGTTTCTTTAAGGAATTTTAATTACCCATTAATTGGGACTAAATTATGATGTTTTAAATATAATTTCAGCATGTTTTAATTAAATTATGAAGGGTTTTATAGTAGTTTATATTGCTGGAAATTTGTGTAAAGTGGATTTTACTACTCTTCTATAATTTTAAATTGTAGGAGACTTTGAAGTCAGTGATTTTTACTAGTCGTGGCAATTCTAAGATCGTATACAAGGTACGTTCGCGTACTTAGTATAATTATGTTGATAAAATAACATGTTAAATGTGTTTGGTTGATTACAAGTAGTATCATGCTAGGTCTGGATTGGAAATTATTATTTATATGTTATTGGTGATTGGATTGTGAAGCATGATTTATTTTGCGATGGATTACTGATTGGAAAATAATAGTTGGAATATTATTTATGAACCACATATTTATTTATGGCATGTTAGAGAGCAAGTTTAATTAAACTAAATGTTTAATTTGGTTTGGAATATTAAAAAGGAATTTTATTATGGTTCATATAATTTTTATTGATGCTATAAGCATGAGGAAAGAGCTATATGAGTGTCTATGTATACGAGAAATAAATTGTATGTTGGTGCCTTAGTGCACTTAAGGTGTTTTTAACACCGAGGGATAGGATTTGTGGCGCTTTATGCGCTTAAGGTGTCATTGGCACCGAGGTAGAATTAAAAAGGATTCAACATTAAATATTATGTGGTCACTAATTATTCAAGAATTAAATTGATATATTTGATTGATTGAATAATTATTTTTGATTGAATGATTATGGTTTGAGAGTCATCACCAAGTTTAATAATCTGTAAATAACGTAAAGTGAAAGAGATTACGCACCAAAACTCTTGGAACGTATATACCTTGAGTATGAACATATGGGGGGAGTTATGGGGTTTTATATTTAACCATAACTTCTACGGGATTTGACGAGGGGAAAACTAGGTCGTTATCTAATCTTCCCTCGGTCAAAATAATTTATAAACACTTAACAAACCTAAATACGAGTATAGAGGCAAGTCAAGGGTCAAACCAAAGGAACGGTGATGTTCAAATGCTTTCGATTTGGGTGCCTAAGCTAGGTCGAAGACGAAGGTAAGAGATAATACTAACAACTAACAAAACAAATAACCAAGGAAATAAAACACTAGGAACGGGGATCAACAAGTAATCATGTCAACTACAACTACTTGGGAAGATCATGCCAATCAAAGGTTGTGAAGACTAATGATAAGAGCTATCAATTGGAATCAAAGAGCTATCTCCTAATTGTTAAGCTAGGGTTCATGATAAGCCTTCTTATCATGGGTTGAGAGAAGCATTTTAGGGTGTGTTTTGATGCTTTATATGTACTTTTGTTAGCTTTTGTGAGTTTTGGGCTGTGATCTCACTTATGTGCAAAAGGCGGGATTTATGAGTATAAGTGAGTGAGTGAGCTCGGGAACCAATGAAGAGTTATGTAAGAAGGATGGACCTTGGCTCGTGATTTGAGAGTTGTGATGGAGCATGGAAGAGCAAGGAAGAAAGCTTGAGGAAAAGGTGAAGCAAAGCAAGAAGAAGAAGCAAGGAAAGAAGGCGAAAACAGCAGGAACCGCTGCCAGGGCCGCTGGCAGCTGGCCAGAGCCGCTGGCAGCGGGTATACCAGAGTGAGGGGCTGCCAGAGCAGCTGCCAGCGGGTCCAGAGCAGCTGGCAGCGGCTCTGGCAGAAATTCGGGCTGTTTTGGTTAATTTTCAGCAATTTGGCTTTGTTTTGGCTCGTGTTTTGGATATTATTTTATTATTATTATTGTGTTATGTTATTAAAATATAGAAACATATAAATAGCTTAGTTTTAATTAAGTTTGAAGTAAGAGAGAAAAGGAGAATTAAGTTTTGAGAAAAAAAAGCTTTCTAGGGTTTTCTTGGAATTTTCAGAATTCTTTGTTTTGGAATTAGAATCCATGGAAGCTTAATCTTCCGGATTCTTGGTTAAAGATTGAAGCTTTTAGCTACGAATTGTGAGATCTTTCTTCTCTTAATATCTATTGAATATATATTGTTCCTTGAATTAATTTCATGATTTGCTTTAATCAATTGCTAGGTTAGAATTATTGGATTCGCTTGCATCTAATTAATCTTTCCAAAGTAGCAACTTTAGGTTATTGATGCATGCTTTTGGTTGATAACTTGAAGAGGGAATAATATTATTGAAGAAATTAGACCGCTTGTGTTAATTTATTCAATCCTTGTTGATTTCTCCGTTTATTTTCTTCTTGTGGATAATTTAGAGCGCTTGTCTTGAATTGTGCATTGGAAAGGGTTAGAAAGGAGCGCTTTGCTATTTCTAACTATTTATGAGAATTTAGAATCTAGGAATTCTACAACAAGGTGTTCAATAGAGCTTGATTGAGGAGACTTCTATGATCAATTTGTATGTTCATTAGTGGATTTCGCATAACCAAGACCGTTCTTCTCATTGATTACCTATTCATTACGTTCGTTGTTCTTACTTAGTTCATTTATCATCATTGCTCGTGAAAACCCCCCTTGTTACTTAGGTTACTACCGTCCTAGAGTATTTCCACTTAGGTTTCCAGTTATTAGTCCCTTTTTCCCTGTGGATTCGAACTCGACTTCCCTAACTACGTTTATTTGCAGTTAGCTTAGTTGTGATATTTTTGGTTGCATACGACTGAGGCACACCAAATTTTGGCGCCGTTGCCGGGGACTTAGGCGTTACCGTTTAATTGTTTATCTTAGTAGAATTTATTTTAGGATTGTTCTTAGCTATTTTTTCTTTGTTTGTTCGCTAGGGTATGATAAGTACCCGTTCTGCTAACAAAGAAGTTTTGCAGTTTGATCCAGAAATTGAAAGAAATATTTCCAGGTTGCGAAGAGAGGCAAGAACAAACCCCAGTGAATCAACATACATCTTCAACATTCAAGAAGAGGAAGTGATGGCAGAAAATCGAACACTGAGAGAGCTAACAGCTCCTAACTTGAACCAACAGCCGTTGTGCATCGCATATCAGCAGTTGGAGGAAGGTGCTAATGTTGAGATCAAATCTGGTCTAATTCATCTATTGCCGGCATTCCATGGCATGAAGGGTGAAGATCCAAATAAACATCTGGCAGAATTTCATGTGGTATGTACTAGCATGAAACCGATTGGGATGACTGATGAGCAAATTCAGTTGAGAGCATTTCCTTTTTCTCTCAAAGATGCAGCGAAGGATTGGTTTTACTATCTTCCCCCAGGGAGCATAACAAATTGGGCAGGTTTGAAGAAGTGTTTCTTAGAGAAGTATTACCCAGCCACTATTTCTGCAAGCCTTAAGAAAGCTATCAGCAATGTGGATCAGAAGGAAGATGAGTCCTTGTATGAGTATTGGGAGAGATTCAAGAGATTGTGTGCTAGTTGTCCGTACCATGGGTATTCCGATCAAGACCTCATCCTATACTTCTATGGAGGTCTAACAGATGATGATTTGAGGATGGTGAATGCAGCAAGTGGTGGAGGGCTAGTGAATAAGACTCCAGGAGATGCAACTAGGCTGATTGCAGAGCTAGCAGAGAATTCTAGGCAGTTCAGTCAGAGAACTCCCACGCGCCGGGTGAATGCAGCAAATTCAAATACAACTGAGTTAGAGAGTCAAGTAGCTGATTTGACTTCTATGATGCGTGAGTTCATGGTGAACTCAAGGAATCCACAGCAACTGAATGCTTGTGGTTTATGCACCTCCATGGGACATCCCACTGATGCATGTCCTCAATTACAAGAGGAGCAGAATGAGCAGGCCAATGCAATGGGTTTCCAAGGGCAAGGTCCTCAGAGAAGATATGATCCATATTCAAATACATACAATCCAGGATGGAGGGATCATCCAAATTTGAGATATGGGAATTCCCAGGGGAACCAACAACAACAGCAAAATGCTCAAGGCCAGCAGCAATATCAGCAATATAGGGCACCATTAGCCAAACCTCAAGGCCAAAGCTCAAATTCGAGTAATATGTCAACTGAAGAAATGATTAGATCACTAACTTCTAATGTTTCTACTATGCAGCAAAACATGGTGCAATTCCAGCAAGAAACCAAATCCAGTATTCAGAATTTGGAAAGTCAAGTGAGCCAAATTTCAAGTGCAGTGAGCCGACTTGAAGCTAAGGACTCTGGAAAGCTTCCATCTCAAACGGAGCTGAATCCTAAGCAACAGGTCAATGCAATAACATTGAGAAATGGCAAAGAGTTGCAAGAAACTGCAGTTGCAACTAAGAGGGCTAAAGACTTGATTGGAACTGAAGAGCAAGAAGTAGAACATGAAGCTGTGGCGAATCCACCAACTTTTCCCTCTTATGAACCCACACCACCTTTCCCTGAAGCCTTGCAAGATACTCGAAGGTATGAGAAAGACAAGGATATTTATGAGACTTTTAGCAAATGTGAGGTAAATATTCCCCTCTTGAATGTGATTAAACGTATTCCTCGTTTTGCTAAGTTTATGAAAGAACTGTGTACTATCAAGAGAAAGCATAGGTTGGGAGGAAAAGAGAAGGTAAAGGTGAGTGCTCATGTTTCTGCGGTTTTCCAAAAGAAAATCCCAGAAAAATGTGGTGATCCTGGTATGTTTATTGTTCCTGTTACAATAGGAGACACCACATTGCACCGAGCTATGTTGGACCTAGGTGCATCAATCAATGTCATTCCCTACTCCCTGTTTAAATCTTTAAAACTTGGACCTTTACATGGAACTGGGGTAGTGATTCAGTTAGCGGATAGGTCTAATGTGTATCCTAAGGGGGTGGTGGAAGATGTGTTGGTTAAGGTTGATGGTTTGATTTTTCCTGCTGACTTTTATGTGCTTGACATGGAACATGACAAACAAGCAGTCCCCATCTTGTTAGGAAGACCTTTCTTGAAGACTGCTAAAACAAAAATCGATGTGTCTACCGGTTCCTTGACTATGGAGGTTGATGGGAAAGCAATTGGGTATAACATTTATGATTCCATAAAGTATCCTGTCAACACTCATTCTTTATGTTCTCTTAATGTTGTCGATCCAATGGTGCATGATGTTCCTAACAATGATCGTGGGGATGAGTTCCTCACACCTATAACTAATGTTGTATCTGGTGATTGCTTGGATTTCTCTATGCCTACTAATGTGCAGGTGAAGGTGGGGGAATTGAATGAACATTCCAAGCTTCCACCTATACCACCAGGTTCAACAATCGGCCCGTCTGCAATTCCGAGCAAGAAATTGTCCCATTTAGACCACAAAGCAAAGAATAGGTTGTGGCATGACAAGATAATTTCTAGGAAGAAGGTTAAAGTCGGTGAAAAAGTACTCCTATATCAATCCCGACTTAGATTATTTCCGGGAAAACTTCGGTCCCGTTGGGAGGGCCCTTTTCAAGTGGTGAATGTATATCCGCATGGAGCAGTTGAAATTCAAAGCCTCGAGACCGATAAGATTTTCAAAGTCAATGGCCAAAGGCTCAAACCCTACTTCGAGGGTTTCAAAACCGAGAACGTGGAGTGCATCGATCTCTACGAGCCATCAATGGAGTAGCGAAGTGGGATGAGCCGCGTCGAGCCAACGACGTAAAACAAAGGCGCTAATCGGGAGGCAACCCGATCGAAACCTTTTCCCCATTTCTTTTCGTAGTTTGTTTTTTATTTTTTTTATTTTTTTTTTTTGGTGATGTGAAGTGTTTCTTTTTATTGTTTTTGTGTAGGGGAGGCCTCGGGAGCGATTGTTACGCGCGAAAAGCAGCAAAACCAGCTAAAAAAACAGACAAAGGGGAGCAAGTGCTGCTGCAACCGCTGGCAGCTGCTCTGCAGCCGCTACCAGCGGCCCTCCCAGCACCCCAGAACCCCTCTGTCCGCCTTAGCCGCTGGCAGCTGCTCCCAAGCCGCTGCCAGCGGGCCCCCCCTCTACGTTTTGTTAATTTCAAAAAAAAAAAAAATAAAAAAAAATAATAAAAAAAAATCACCAAAATCTGCCAGAGCCGCTGGCAGCGGGCCTCAAGCCGCTACCAGCGGCTCCTACAGCTCTCCCCGATTTTTTTTTCCCCTTATTTCCCCCAATTTCCATCTTCTTCCTTCATTATCCCCCAATTCACATCAACCCTAAGCATTTTCTCCTCCTTCTCTCTACTCTTTCACTCCCACACTCCAATTCCACATCTACCCTAGCAATTCTCCTTCCCCAAATCCTTACCTTCCATCAATTCCCTTCACAAATACAACCTAGGTTTTCCATTTGCTCTTGATTCCAAGGGTGACATTGAGTGGTTGTGAGGTTGTGCAACGTGAACTTCTTGTAATTGAAGGTGAGGGTGAAGATTCAAGCATACAACTAAAGTCATGGGAAGGGATAACAAGAGGTCCAAGGCTTCATCTCCATCAAGACCCTCAAGGGGCAAGAAGCAAGGGGCTTCTTCAAGTCAAGGGGAGGCCCCTCCATTGCCTCAAGGGGATGGTTTCATGGGTGTTCGGTTGCATTCCAAGGAGAAGGGCGTATGGACTAAGCTTCAACAACCCCGACGAACGGTGCAATGCACCAAGTTCTTTGACTTAGAAGCTTTACAAGAGCTAGAGATGGAGGAAGTAGTGCGGCTCTTGCTAAGGAACGTGGGTCTCGAGAATTTCATGACCAAATGCGCTCCCACCTATGTCAGGTATACATATGAATTCCTTTCAACGCTTACTAAAGGACGTGAACAAATATCCTTTAATTTGAACAATAGGAATTATGTGATGTCTTATGATGATTTGCGTATGGCATTTGGTTGGGATGCACCCCCATTGGTGAACCGTTGGGGTGATCATAGCTCATACTCGTCCCGAGTATTTTGGAGGGCTATAACTGGTTGTGAGGTTGATCCTCACGGTGATCATAGCTTCAAAATCACCCACCCATGCCTTAGACTGGTGCATAGGTTTATATCGTCCACTATTCTATGCCAAGGGGAGGCCACTAAGGTCCCCAAAGTCACATTGTCGTATTTGTGGGCGATGACCCCTGAAGGTGTCGGTACGCCCAATTGGGTGGAGATTTTTGTTGATAGTTGTGTAAAGGTGAAGTCCAACTCCAGTGGCCATATTAGTATGGGTGGCATGGTCTCTTTGCTAGCCTGTTATTTGAATGTTCCACCCCCTGAGGATCTTGTGCCAGTAGACTCGACATACTTGACATATAACATCATGACTCTGGTCAAGATCGGTTTATTATCGCGTTCCCCCGTCGCCGGTAGTTATTTCTGGCGATACGGACCGCAGGGTTTGAACTATTTGAGACTTCCTCGTCCCGAGGGACGAGCATTACCTTTTGGCCCTACTGCTGCAGACTTTTTCCTTCCGCCCGACCCGGATGTTGCTCCTTATTTGGGAGATGCTGAAATCATAGTTGAGAACATGGGAGAGGAGAATCCCGATGTTCATATGGGCGGAGAGTTTGTTGATGAGGAAGGGGGTGAGGATGCTGCTGGAGTGCAGCACGATGATTGGCCTCGATGGAGGGCTGATGTGGATGATAGACTAGAGGAGGTGTGCGATGGGATGCACGAGCTGCTTGCATATCAAAGAAGCATGAGTCGGTTTTACACCACTCAGTATCCGCAGTATGAGCCTCCAACTGAGGCGTTCATGGATCATTTGGCATCCCGTGCTTTGCGTCGTTCCGAGAGGCGTGCTTCTCGGGGCGATGCCGGCTCTTCTGGCTCTGGAGGTCCCTCTCATTGAGATGGTAACGATTTTCTTCCTTTTCCCTTACTTTTGGTTTCATTGTAGTTGTTCTTGCATCGAGGACAATGCGTCATTCAAGTAGGGGGGGGAAGAAATTCTTGCATATATTCTTTGAATTTTGTATAGTTATCTTGATTTCATGTTTTGTATAACTATCTTAATTGTGGTTCAATGAAGCAAGCATGAAAAAAAAAACAGAAAAAAGTATGAAAAAAAAAAAAGAAAGAAAGAAAAAAGAAAAAGAAACCCGCTAAGTCGAAAACCTGAAAAGGCGACTTAGGCAAAAATGGGGGCCCGGTTAGGTTGAAAACCCGAAAGGGCGACCTAAGCAAAAAAGTGGCTAATGAGTGGGTGAGAAAGTGAGATTTGGAAAAAGATGAGAGGCTAGGATGAAAACCCGAAAGGGCTCCTAGGCAAAATGAGAGAAAAAAGAGAGAAATGTTCATGAATTTGATTTTTCAAGGAAATTTCGCATCTATTTGCCGGAGTCGGTGTCATAAGGGGTGGAGATATAAGGAGGTGTCGGGGTAGGTTTCATCTTGGTGATTTTGGGAGATAGTTGAGATTTTGGGGGAATTTGTTGATCATCTTAGGAATTTGAGAGCATGAGTTGTTTGTTTTCACTCTTGAATGTGGAAGTGTTTTTATGAGATTTTTGGTTAAGTTGAGTTTTTGTTTGCCCAATTTTATCAAAAATTTCATTTCTTTAGGCGGTTGAGAATATTCATACTCATGGCTATGCGTTTATCGTTCCAAGTTGATTTTGGGGATGAATTGATAAATAAGAAAAAAGGGAGATTCAAAGTGTGAAGTATGGGGGAGTGTGATTGTGATTGGTTGATAAGTACTAGGATGTTTTGTTGAGTTTGAGTGCATAGAGCTAGTTTGATTCCACCATCTTCTGTTTTGAACCTTAGTGAGGAGGATGTGTTTTATTCTCTAAGTTTACTCGAGGGCGAGTAAAGGTTCAAGCATGGGGGAATTTGATAAGCCTTCTTATCATGGGTTGAGAGAAGCATTTTAGGGTGTGTTTTGATGCTTTATATGTACTTTTGTTAGCTTTTGTGAGTTTTGGGCTGTGATCTCACTTATGTGCAAAAGGCGGGATTTATGAGTATAAGTGAGTGAGTGAGCTCGGGAACCAATGAAGAGTTATGTAAGAAGGATGGACCTTGGCTCGTGATTTGAGAGTTGTGATGGAGCATGGAAGAGCAAGGAAGAAAGCTTGAGGAAAAGGTGAAGCAAAGCAAGAAGAAGAAGCAAGGAAAGAAGGCGAAAACAGCAAGAACCGCTGCCAGGGCCGCTGGCAGCTGGCCAGAGCCGCTGGCAGCGGGTATACCAGAGTGAGGGGCTTCCAGAGCAGCTGCCAGCGGGTCCAGAGCAGCTGGCAGCGGCTCTGGCAGAAATTCGGGCTGTTTTGGTTAATTTTCAACAATTTGGCTTTGTTTTGGCTCGTGTTTTGGATATTATTTTATTATTATTATTGTGTTATGTTATTAAAATATAGAAACATATAAATAGCTTAGTTTTAATTAAGTTTGAAGTAAGAGAGAAAAGGAGAATTAAGTTTTGAGAAAAAAAAGCTTTCTAGGGTTTTCTTGGAATTTTCAGAATTCTTTGTTTTGGAATTAGAATCCATGGAAGCTTAATCTTCCGGATTCTTGGTTAAAGATTGAAGCTTTTAGCTACGAATTGTGAGATCTTTCTTCTCTTAATATCTATTGAATATATATTGTTCCTTGAATTAATTTCATGATTTGCTTTAATCAATTGCTAGGTTAGAATTATTGGATTCGCTTGCATCTAATTAATCTTTCCAAAGTAGCAACTTTAGGTTATTGATGCATGCTTTTGGTTGATAACTTGAAGAGGGAATAATATTATTGAAGAAATTAGACCGCTTGTGTTAATTTATTCAATCCTTGTTGATTTCTCCGTTTATTTTCTTCTTGTGGATAATTTAGAGCGCTTGTCTTGAATTGTGCATTGGAAAGGGTTAGAAAGGAGCGCTTTGCTATTTCTAACTATTTATGAGAATTTAGAATCTAGGAATTCTACAACAAGGTGTTCAATAGAGCTTGATTGAGGAGACTTCTATGATCAATTTGTATGTTCATTAGTGGATTTCGCATAACCAAGACCGTTCTTCTCATTGATTACCTATTCATTACGTTCGTTGTTCTTACTTAGTTCATTTATCATCATTGCTCGTGAAAACCCCCCTCGTTACTTAGGTTACTACCGTCCTAAAGTATTTCCACTTAGGTTTCCAGTTATTAGTCCCTTTTTCCCTGTGGATTCGAACTCGACTTCCCTAACTACGTTTATTTGCAGTTAGCTTAGTTGTGATATTTTTGGTTGCATACGACTGAGGCACACCAGTTCACAATAAATAACAAACTAAGAGAATCACAATCAAAACCAATCAATAATTGCAATTCCTAAATCAATTGGTCATGTCATTAGCAATTACAATGCAATCTAGTATAATTCATAAGGCCTAATCGAATTACACACATTCAAACCTTCACTAATAACTTTAATCTCAACAATCAATCAACAAAATTCCCAAATTAATCACAATTAATCAATCATACAAGTTTCACCCAATTCCTAGCAAAACAACTATTCAACAATCATCATTTATCAACTAATAACTATGGAAATCAAGAATCAACAATATATCATGAACAATTACACTCATCAAGAATCAAACATCAAAATTAAACCAAACAAACATGAAATTAAAAAAAAAACAATAAGGTGAGATAGGGTTAAGAATGCTCATTGATAATAGAGAAGATCTTCAACACAATTGTCACCCTTGTATTTTCAATCTCTCAATCACCATTGAAATCCTTCACTTTCTCTCTCTAAAACTACTCCTAATCTAGAGAGAGGAACTCCTAATCTAACCTAATCCTCCTTAGGGGAAAGAGAAATTATTCTAATCTAAATAATTTCATGTATGAAGAATAAAGAACGCCTTAAAATATATATACAAAAGGATAAAAGAAATGAAATCGCAAATAAAACCCAG